CGTCCCGTGTTTCCTCCACTTGTGGATTATGGCTCTGACCGTGGTCCGCTGCAGTCCCAGACATTTAGAAATGACTTTGTAACCTTTCCCACGCACAGACATGTCTATTACTTTCCTCCTTTTCTGCTCCTGGATTTCTTTGGATCGCGGCATGATGTCTCGAGCTCAGTGTGGCCGACTTCTTCACTTCTTCTCTTCACCTCGTCAGACGGGTTCTTCTCTCGATTTGAAAACTTTTTTGGCAGCATCGGCCCTGGGCGTGGCTCTCAAACTGAACTCAGCTTTCCACAATAATGTTACCTCATCATTTAACACGGGGGCAGTTACTTTTCACGCAGGATCATGCAGGTTTGGAGATTTGATGTTTACCTGGGTTGTCTTTGTGTAATATTTCAATTCCTTTGATGATGTGAAATGGTAAATTTTTATCAAGAAAGTAAGAAATCAGGAAGGGAGCGAATACTTTTTCAGAGCGCTGTGGCTCTATGGGCAGAACGTTCAGCAGTTACTACGGTGAAACATACTGCAGCGGCCCAGTGCGTCTCAGTTCAAGAAAATGGCTTTAAGAACAGAAACGATGAAAATGAACAAAAAAGACACAAGTTTAAATGAGGTACAAACAAAGAGCGTGGGGTAAATGAAAAAAAAAGTGCTGCAAGAAAAAGACAAATGTGTCATCATCAAACGCGCCGCAAACAGAGAAACGATGCAAAATACAAAGCGATGAAAACCAAGAAAACACATCCATCCATTTTCTTCCACTTCTCCGGGGTTGGGTCGCGGGGGCAGCAGTCTAAGCAGGGACTCCCAGACTTCCCTCACCCCAGACACTTCCTCCAGCTTCTCCGGGGGAACCCAAGGTGTTCCTAGGCCAGTCCAGAGACATAGTCCCTCCAGTGAGTCCTGGGTCTTCCCCGGGGCCTCCTCCCGGTGGGACATGCCCGGAACACCTCCCGAGGGAGACGCCCAAGAGACATCCGGAACAGATGCCCGAGCCTCAACTGCTCCTGTCGACGTGGAGGAGCAGTGGCTCTACTCCGAGCTCCTCCCGTGTGACTGAGCTCCTCACTCTACTCTATCTTAACTGGATGAAAATGTGAACCATCCGATTTTTGACCCTCTGATACATATCTGAAACATACATCGGATTTCAACACAAAAAAATCATTATTCTGCACTGAAGTAGGAGAAAATTGTTAATGAACTCTGTGTCACTGAAGTGAAGCACATCTCACCACTCTTGCTCCGTCTCCACATCGTTCCTGAAACACAACAACAACATCTCAGCATCTAAGAGGAACAAAGCACCCAGACATCACTGCGGAGGAAACTCATTTCGATCGCTTGTATCCGTGATCTCATCCTTTTGGTCATTACCCAGAGCTCATGACCAGAGGTGAGGGGAGGAACAAAGACTGACCAGTAAATCTGGAGCTTTGCCTTTGGGCTCAGCTCCTCTTCACTGCAACAGTCCGATACAGTCCCCTCACTTGAGAACAAAACCCCGAGACACTTGAACTCCTCCACTTGAGGCAGGGACTCTCCACCCACCTGGAGATGACAAGATGCTTTTTTCCGGTCGAGAACCACGACCTCGGACTTGGAAGAGCTGATCTTCATCCCAGCCGCTTCACACTCTGGTCAAACCGTCCCAGAGCTGCAGGTCCTGGTTCGACGAAGCCAACAGAACAACATCTGTGAACAGCAGAGATGATCCTGTGGTCCCCAAACCGGAAAATTCTTGTTCTTAATTTTGGTTTACATAATTTCTGTGCCACTTCTGATTATAAACAGATGATAAACTCTCTCTCATGGACAGAGCCTTTCTCTCTCTCTCTTCCTCCGGTGTGTCTCCACTGAGCTGTTACACTGAGAGCGCCCCCTGTAGGATGTGGTGACTCTTTATGCAGTGTTTTTTGTTTTTCTGTGTTTTCTTGGTTTTCATCTTTTTGTGTTTTGTGTTGTTTCTCTTCATCGTTTTCTTCTTTTACTCAAGTTTTACGCAAGTTTTACGCAAATTTTACACAGATGGCCTTTCTAAAATATGAAATTAAAAAACAATATACCTTTTTAATACCAAAAAACAGTTATCATAATACATTTTTAAAGACTATACTGTTTTACTCAAGGTTTATGCAAATGTTTTCATTGTTTTGTGTTTTGCGTCATTTCTCTGTTTGCTGATGACACATTTGTCTTTGTTTCTTGCAGCGTGTGTTTTGTTTTTTTGTTAGTTTTTTACACCACGTTCTTTGTTTGTTCTCGTTTAAACTTGTGTTTGAGTTTATGAATTTGCGTCATTTCTGGAGTTGAAGTTGGTTTCCCGCAAACAGTGTCAAAAAAGGTTAAAGAAATGGATTTAAAAGTGCATTTTCAGGAGCCTGTGATCACTCCGAGCGCTCGTACTCGTGTTTAGGAGTTTGAGTTTTAAGCAGAAGGTGAGAGTGACTAAATCCGTCTTCGTCGTTGTGTGTTTTGTGTGAGAGTTTTGTTTAAGCGCACAAATCCTGTCACCTGTTGTAGTTCCAGCTCAGTCTTACTAAGTCTTTCTGCTCAGATTGTGTTAAATTAAAGCTGATATTAAAGTCTTAAAGCTTCAGACAGGGCAGAGTCTACAGTTCACTTCACACCTCCTGAGAACCGTGATGACGTCAGCTGCAAGTTCAAGTCCTGCTGCCCGGCCCTGAGTCACACCAAAATCACACTCCACTTTATTTGTTTTAGGGCACTGAGGAAGAAAATCAGGCCTTCAGGAGGAGACTTTTTGTATTTTTATTTATTTTTTATTCATTTGAACTGTTTTAATGTTATTTTGTGTTTTACAATGAACTGATTCATGTTTAAATGACACCAAATAAACTGATTTAGGGTTAGGGGTAGGATAGGGATAATAAGAGGTAACAAGTTCTACACAAGTTTTACAGTGGTTGCCTTTCTAAAATATGAAATTATATAAAAAAAATAAAATATATACCCTTTTATACCAAAACCAGTTATCATAATACATTTTAAAGACTTTATAATTTTGCGCAAGTTTCAAACAGGCAGCCTTTCTAAAATATGACATTATATATATATATATATATATATATATATATATATATATATATATAGAATATACCTTTTATACCAAAAAACAGTTATCATAATACATTTTTAAAGACTTTATTGTTTTATTCAAGTTGTACACCAGTTTTACACAGGCAGCTTTTTTAAAATATGAAATTATATTAAAAATATATACCTTTATCCTGAAAGTTTGACTCAAGTTTAACCCAGGCGGCTTTTCCAAAATATTAAATTATATAGAAAAAAAACAATATACTTTTATACCAAAAACCATCATTATCATAATACGTGTTTAAAGACTTTATAGTTTACTCAAGTTTTACTGCTTACTTTCTAAAATATGAAATTATATATAAGAATATACCTTTTATACCAAAAAAAACTGTTAGCATAATACATTTAAAAGACTTACTGTAAGATTATAACCAAGGAACATTTCCATGAAAACAAAGCCAAAATAGTCAGGAAACATGTTTTTTGTGTATATTTTGGCTAAAAAGTTACACACTGTGCCTTTAAATTGCTGATTCTTCATAACGCTGTAGGAAAACAGCGATGACTAAACCTCATTATGTTTTTATAGCTGCGCTCGGTTGAACTATAAAACCTTTTTTAACCAGACGGGGGCAGTATTTCAGCGCTAATGGTCTCCTCCTGACCTTTTTATTACCTCCTGTTCCCATTACGGTCTCGGAGGAAGACATTTAGAAGAACGGTATTTAACAAACACGGACAATCAAATAACCACTTCACTTTTTATCCACTGCTGCGCTCGTAAAGCAGCTCCCTATGACGACGGTTTCTCATCTGGAGTCGTGTTTTGTTTCATTCACACGTGTTTAACTCAAAAACTCTGCACATTTAGTAGAGCTGGGGATCATTAAGAAGTTGAAGATACGATAAATCCCTCGATATGTAGACCATAATACAATACATTTTTCAATACAGTGTACTTTCAAATCTTTTTGATACGGTTCAGTGAAAAACAAAGGCTGAATCATGTCTGTGATACTAAAAGTCTTAAGTCCACAATCTTGGAAAAGTCATAGAATTTTATTATCTTTTTCACACAATTCAAACATTTTGTTAAATTGTTATTTGGTTATTATGATTATTTCTGAACTTCTGCGTCTTTTGTTTAACCCTTTTACATCCCTAGGAACATTTTTATACATTACAATTTTTCTTTTTGTCATAACTTTGATGATATTGCACCAAATAGCACCAAAATTGGCCGGTTTGTGTATTTTCTGGTGTATTTTTAATTTCTGTGTTGTTGTTTTTTTTTTTTTTTTTTTATTTCAAGATCACATTAATTGAACGGTCTATAATCAAAATACTTACAGCCGTGGTCCTTTGGTACATTTCATTTTTGTCCCATTGACTTCCGTTCAAAATGGCTTAGTTTACTGACATAACTTTGCCAGTTTATTTTTACTTTTTGATTTATTTTTCATTCTTTGGTGTTGAAAATCCTTAAGAATGTTTAGTTTTAGTGTCTTTTTGAATTTTGGTCTGGTTTAGTCCTGGTTTAGACCTGATTCAGTCCTGATTCAGTCCTGGTTTAGTCCTGGTTTAGACCTAGTTTAGACCTGGTTTAGTCCTGGTTTAGTCCTGGTTTAGTCCTGGTTTAGAGCCTGGTTTAGTCCTGACCTGGTTTAGACCTGGATGTAGTTTTTAAAGTTAATGATTCAAGATATAAATAAAAAAAAATATATATATATATATATATATATATATATATATATATATATATATATATATATATATATATATATATAATGTATGTATTTATTTATATTTATTATTGATTATTCTTTATTATTATAACAGAACTTGACACTCGTTTGTTTACACTCGTTTGTTTACACTCGTTTGTTTACTCTCGTTATTTTATTTCTTTCGTTCTTTCTTTCTTCCTCGTGTCTTAGATGTGTGTCGAAGCGTCAGTGTTTTGCGCCCGCCGCCCTCTACTGTCCGTTTGGGGAACAGGCGGCCGGGGTTCGCTCCCTCACACAGTTCCAGGCTCTTCAGGACGGGGAGCAGGAGCTGAGCGCGCTGAGGGACCTGGGCCTCACGCACGACGAGATCCAACTGTGGAGGAGCAGAGACCACGAGACGGACAAGGTACAAGACTCCGCCCCCTCCAGCTTAGACCCAGACTTACACAAACTTTATTGATCCACAAAGGAGTAAAAAATATAAATAGTGATAATAAATTCTAAATAAGTTGCAAAAAGAGCAAGAGAGGGGAGTCAAATAAAACATAATTATATAAATGTAAATATACAAGTCAAAATAAAATAGAAAAATAAGTAATAAAATCTGGATTTATTAATTTACAACTAAATATTGTGCTTTTTCTGATCTGTAATATAATGTAGTTTCTAGAGATGTAACGATGTACAAGACTCACAAAACGATATCGTCATGTATGAACCTCACAATATTGTGATATCGTATCATCATCATCAATCATCATCATCATCATCATCATCATCATCATCATCTTATTCCGGACTCATGGTCCATTTAAAAAACAGACAAGGACAGTGACAACACAAAACAATAAACATTCATGTTTTTAAAAGACGACCACACCAGTGTCTCCACATGTTGGACTGATACCTTATTGCACTGAATCTCAAATTTGTGATTGACATTATTGTTTCAGTGTCTGATTTGTTGAGTCTGCAGATAAAACTGTACATTAAAGTTCTTAGTGCAGCTTGCATCTCAAAAGCTCCGTAAAGCGTCACTGTAAACACCTGCAGTCTGTGCAAACTGGCTTTTTTATAATTAGTCCAGAGGTGAACTGTGTACAACGGTGAACAATATGATTTAAACAATAACAACTTTACATCATTTGTACAAGAACCAAACCTACACATTAGCAGTACACAGTATTTGCCTGAGCAGAGAGCGTCCTCCACTGTCTGTACACATCATCATCATCTGTCATGTCCGCACTGATGATCTGCCCCAGATATTTAATTTTTATTGTAACAGACAACACAACATTTGACAGGCAAAAGTCAGGAAATCTCATGTGCTTATCGTCTTTGGTCCTACAGATCATGACCACACTCTTGGGTGCATTATACTTTAGATCATGCTCCACACTATGAGCTGAACACATGTTGAGTAGCTGCTGGAGACCAGAGGTGCTCGGACTGAAAATAACCAAATCATCTGCATACATCGTCAAAGTTCTCACATTAATATCGTGGACCATCACAATATATCGAATCACAAGTCTCTTTTTTCCTTTTAATGAATACAAAAGTTGCAATTAAAACAAGAGTTTTTCAGTTACAAAATTCAAATTCCATGGCCTTATGACCATTGGAAAATAGTTCTAAACCCCTCTATCCCCCTCTCATTCAAAAGGGAAGTTTGCAAGGGGCTTGTCACTGAGCTGTGCTCTCAGGAGCTCCTTGAATTCGCCCATTGTTCCAGAGTGTGAAACACAGTCAGGAGGATTCAATACTGAGCCTAATATTGAGCCTCCTAGTGGCCAGAGTGAGACATGACCTCTGCATGATGACAGCGCAGGGCAGGGTCCCATCAGGAAACACTGAGGTGGCCCGCCGTACATCAGAAGGCAGAACTTTCTGTGTGGGCTGGTACCGTCCCAGAGCTGCTGGTGAAAGTCTGTGGTACAGTTTAAATGCAAAACATGCCAGTGCAAAATTGCGTCTGGTTTCCAGTGTGGTCAGTCCAAGTGCTGTATAGTGCTCTGGTGTTATATGGGCACAATACGGCAGATGGAGAATGAATGAAGAGTTACGGTGCAGCAACAGCTAAAAAAACACAGAGGGAACTACATAGACCATGATCCTTTGCTCCATTTTAGTGCAGGCGACAAGAAGAAATAACAGTTCTAACACTTTTAACTCTTAGTTCTTTGGATTTCTTTAAAAGAGGAAAAATTGGCATATTCGCAGTTTTGTTTTTGCCTCCATAAAATATCTCAATAAATGTCGTACCGTGAGATGTACATCATGAAAATATGGTACTGTGAGTTTTAAGTATCTTTACTTTGCTTAATTCCTACTCAAGTAAAAGTAAAAGTAACCACCTAAAAATCTGCTTGAGTAAAGTAAAAAAAAATCTTTGTTTAAAATTTTATTTGAGTAAAAGTGACTTAGTTACTTTCAGTTATTTGATGTAAAAAAGTACAAAATCGAGCTTAAGTTGTTTGAATCGATTTTTAGGTGACACAGACAAACTTTGTACATTTTAAAGACAACTGAGCTCACGAACATTTACTGTTTTAACATTTGTATTATTATGTTATTCCTTATTTTGTGTTTGAACGTAAATATCTGTCCCAGGTTTGGCCAGTGGTTTCCTTCTCTTTTTTCTCGAGAATTATTCAATGCACCTTCTTCTTGAATATCGACCATGACGACCTCGACCTGCGGCCAAGATAAACCGACGGTTCTGAACAGTGACTGTCAGGGATGTAACAATAACCGAAATATCGTGATGTCGTATCGTCAAAGTTCTCACAATAACATCGTGGACCATCACAATATATCGATTTACAAGTCTCTTTTCTTAAATGAAGAAGTTTTGGTGCAGCAATAGCTCAAAAAAAAAGACATAGAGAACTACATAGACCATGATCCTTTGCTCCATTTCAGTGCAGACGACAAGAAGAAATAACAGTTCTAACACTTTTAACTCTTAGTTCTTTGGATTTTTTTAAAAAAGGAAAAAGTGGCATATTCGCGGTTCTGTTCGCCTCCACAAAATATTACAATAAATATCGTACCATCAGATGTATATCGTGAAAATATCGTATCGTGATATTTGGATATTGTTACATCACTAATCAACATATCTCCAACATATTGTGAGCTTTCCCACAATATCGCAGTAAATATCGTACTGTGAGGTTCATACCGTGATGATATCGTATCGTGAGACTTGGATATCGTTACATCTCTGATATCGTCCCATTCCATGTAAAAAAAAAAAAACTGCTACTCACTAGTGTCCTGTGCATCTGTCCACAGGAGGAGCCCACTCTTTCTTGTGATGATGTTTACGGCAACATCAGCTCCCACTGTTTTGTAAAGTGGAAATAAGCACACTTGTTTCTTTTATTTAAGTTTAGATCAGGGGTGTCAAACATACGGCCCGGGGGCTGGATTCGACCCTCCAAGACCTTTAATCTGGCCCTCAGCTGATTTTCTACTAAAATATTTTAATGATATTTTCTATTAAAATCTTGTTAATTTTCTGTGGTGTTTATCACAGCAGCGTCTCCAGCGTCTCTGTACGTGGCCCCTCCCACCAGAGCAGCACAAATGAAGACTTGTCTCTTTCCAAACGCTCTTAAAGGACCAGTCTCAAATACAAAGTAGTTAAAAAACTGAGGCACTCAAAAAGCACAAAATAATTAAAAGTCTTTAATAGCACATGGCAGATAAAGTTAACATTTCGGCCCTTCGGCTTCATCAGGGCAACTCCAGATGGTTATCACAGTGCAAATTTAAAGTCATAGGTGAAGGTCACATGTTCACAGTGGGCTGGTCCACAGTCCCCTGGTGCATGATGGGACATGTAGGCTGAACAGATTTTAGTGACAAGCTATTTAAGTTCCAATATAATACAAGACATAAATAGTACAAATCCCAACAACCAATACATAGAAAAATACACAGTATAAAAACACATAGTATAAAAAGATACATAGTATAAGAATATATGTAGTGCAAAAATTCAAAAGTATTACAGATATAACTATAATTTGTATATATATACAATATATGTAATATATTAAAGGGTCAGAGATGTAAAACAGAAATTGATCACTCATTTAAAGCTTGTGGTTTTAAAGGAAGAGGGAGAAATGTAGCTCTCCATTAAATCCTGGAAACTGTGCAGCCTTGAGAGTGTAGATCCAGCAGGACTCTCTCTGTAATCATTTTTTCAGTCTCCTCCTCTTATTGTTACTTTAATATGTTCAATAGCACATAGATTTTCAGGCTTTTCCAGCTGCCATGGCTGACTTCTTTGTAATGCACGGCCATAGGATACAGGGGGTTACACGTCCTTACAGCCTGTTTGTGTTCAGTCTGGTTTTTCAGTTTGCGTTTTGTTCGGCCTGTGTAAAAACGACCACATGGGCATTCAAGTCTGTACACTACATAAGTGGTGTTACAATTAATGAATGTCCTAATATCAAACGCTCTTAAAGGACGATCGTTTTGACTGTTGACCGTGACACCCTCATCAGAAAAATGTCCAACATGAGAAAAGTGGAGCTGAGTGCAGGATTTTACAACAAAAATGAACTTATTCCTGTTTGCAAACAAGTTCATGTTAAAACATTGTGTTGAAATTGTATTTTTCTTAAAGTTTCAGGTTGTTCATAATATTATAATATTTTGTAAAAGAAAGAGTTCATCAATTAAAAAAGATTTCTGTTATAGATTTGTGTTTCTCTGCACAAATATTTGAACTTATTGATATTTTTGGGGGATACCGTATTTTCCGCACTATTAGGAGCTCTAGATTATAAGGTGCATTGTCATTAAATGGTCTATTTTTGAACTTTTTTCATAAATAAACTGCGTGGGACTTTAAATGAAACCCAACAGTGTGATGGGTGAGTGGTTTTGTTTGTTTGTGGTGTTCACAGTGACTCTGGGCTTTGTTCAGTTGTGGCGTGTAGGGAGGGTGTGTCTGGGACCAACGGATTGTCGGCGTGTTCACAGTGACTTCAGTTGTTCAGTTGTGTCTAGAAGTGGCACATTGCACTTGCTTTTTCGGTTCGTTCCTCTGTTCCGTTCCTCGTCGGCGTGGAGTGATGAGTGTGTCTGTGGGTGTGTTTCTCTGTGCGGTCGCTGTCTGCTCCGTGTGTGTTTGTGTGTTCTGTGGGTGGTGTGTTTGTAGTTTACTGAAGTCGTGCTGGGACACCTGAGTGGATTCGTGTATGGGGCGCTCTGGATTGTGTGGCACACAGTCATTTTTTGATGAGGTTAGAGGCTTAAGAACGCGTCTAATAGCCCAGGAAAATACGGTATATGCCATGAGTTTTTTTGATCTGGACCATTTGGGATCAAAGTCGGTTGGATACAGCCACCGGAGTCTGACACCCCTGGTTTAGATCAATATTGTGATTTAAAAATGTGAAAATGATAACAGAATGATTGTCAAACATTGCAGATTATAACTGTAAAACAGACACAAGCACAAGGTTTAGTCTATTTATTTAATTTATCTTGGGAGGGAACTTCTTGGTGAGAAACTTTTGAGAATAACTGTCTACTGCTCTATTTAACTCTCTGAACCTTCCTCCTCCTCTTCCTCCTCCTCTTCCTCTTCGTCCTCGGTCAGTCCCGCGGCGGCGTGTGCTCGTGGACCCCGGCGCCCGACAGCAGCGTCTGGAGCAGATCCGGGAGAAGATGGCGGCGCGTTCGGAGCTCCTGTCCCGCCCCCAGCGCTTCAACAGCAGCCGAGCCCTGACGCGCAGAGAGATGGAGATCGAGCGGGCGCTGTACCAGGGCAACGAGCGCCAGGGCTTCCTCTCTGCCCTCTACCACAGGGGTAACAGGAGGGGGGGACGGGGGGGACGCTGCATGTATGTCTACGGGAGAATGTTCAGGGGTAACGCTGTAAAATACTCACGAGGTGCACGGTGTAACTTTTTTTCCGCTGGCGGGTTCGTCAAACACTTTCCTCCGTTGAGATGTTAGTGCTTTATCTGGAATGTTCCACAGTGTGACATTAAACCGTTCTGTTTCCGCGGAGACCAAACCAGACCAAGTTACAGGTCAGATCTGTGGAGAGGCGACCCCACTCACAGTCAGAATGTCTGTTTTGTCTAAGTATTTTTGAGCTGTAAATCCTGTTTGTAAGTCCTGGTTCAGTCCTGGTTCAGTCCCGGTTCAGTCCCGGTTCAGTCTCGGTTTAGTCTTAGTTCCTTTCCTGGTTCAGTCCTGGTTTAGTCCTGGTTTAGTCCTGGTTTAAGTCCTGGTTAGTCCTGGTTTAGTCCTGGTTTAGTCCTGGTTTAGTCCTGGTTTAGTCCTGGTTTAGTCCTGGTTCAGTCCTGGTTCAGTCCTGGTTTCGTGCTGATTTAGTTTTGGTGTAATCTTGGTTTAATTCTGGTCTAGTCCTGATTCAGTTCTGATCTGGTCTTGGTTCAGTCCTGGTCTAGTCCTGGTCTGGTCTTGGTCTTGTCCTGTTTCAGTCCTGGTTTAGTCCTGATTCAGTTCTGACCAAACCAGACGAAGTTAATTCAAGTCAGATCTGTGAAGAGGCGACCCCGCTCACAGTCAGAACCAGGACTAAACCAGGACTAAACCAGGACTAAACCAGGTCTAAACCAGGTCTAAACCAGGTCTAAACCAGGTCTAAACCAGGACTGAACCAGGACTAAACCAGGTCTAAACCAGGTCTAATCTCCAGAAAAGCTGAAATGATCCAGATGATTCTAGTGAAGGTGTGTGGAGTTTAAAACATATTAAAACATAAATCAGAAAATAGCGTAATATCAATCCTTTTAATATATTTTTGAAAGTGTACAGACATCTCAAATGAATAAACTTTTACTTTAATTAACTTTTTTTTTTTTCTATTTCAGATGTTACAGATCCTGACCAGCAGGTGTCGACATCGAGCCGCTCCATCGACTCTGTTTACAGGGAGGTTCTGGAAGAAGATCGATTATCAACTTTGAAACGAAACAAAAACGAAGAAAAACTGAAGGAACAAACTGAAACAGAAACCGACCAATCACGAACTCCGGAGCAATCACAAACCGAGCGAATCGACCAATCAGAGGAGCCCGAGCCCAGAGATGGCCAATCAGAAGAGTCCAGACGAGAAGAACCGCTCCAGTCGGCTCCGGTGACGTCGATCGATCTGAAACAGCCCATCAGCAGCCTCCGAGCGGCGTCGCACGTCCCCGTCACGGTCAGAGGCGACGTGGAGGTGATTTCAGAAGAAGATATTTTATCGACCAGAGATTCAGACGAAACGATACGGAACATTCCAAGATTTAAGAATTACCAACCGGGAAAACCGTCCAAGGTAAAACACAAGAGTGGAAATGTTTATTAACAGGACTAAACCAGGAATAAACCAGGAATAAACCAGGTCTAAACCAGGTCTAAACCAGGACTAAACCAGGAATAAACCAGGTCTAAACCAGGACTAAACCAGGACTAAACCAGGTCTGAACCAGGTCTGAACCAGGTCTAAACCAGGTCTAAACCAGGACTGAACCAGGTCTGAACCAGGTCTAAACCAGGACTAAACCAGGACTGAACCAGAACTAAACCAGGTCTAAACCAAGACTGAACCAGGACTGAACCAGGACTGAACCAGGTCTAAACCAGGACTAAAATTCACTCTCTATAAATGGGCTTTTATTATTTTTACACACAGATATTGACATAAAAGAATTTATTTGTCCAAACTGCCCATTTTTGAGATTTCGTGTGATTCAAGTTAAAAAGTGAAAAAATGCATAGCACACTCAAATGTCCAAAAGCTTTTTTTTTTTTTTTTTTTCTCTTTTACTTTATTGATCCATAAGGGAAATGATTTGGACATGGGAGCTCACACATCACAATATAATAAAACAAAAGAACAAAACAGAACAAAGAGGAAAAAAAATTAAACAAAAAAATAATTCTAAATGAGTAGCAAAAAAAGAGCAAGAGACACACAACAAATAAGGCATACTTATATAAAGTATGTAATGTACAAGTCAAAATAAAATTATATTAGTCTGTCTACAAATCCAAAGCTCAAAACGCTCTGCTCCACCTTGTGATGTCATGAAGTGGTAGTTTTCAAGTTGAACAGCTCCTTTTATGCTTTAGTTCAGTAGAGATCGGTGATTCCAGAAGTGCTGAAATGATCCAAATGATTCTAGTGAAGGTGTGTGACGTTTAAAAACGCAGTGGAGCACTTTCTGTATTACTGCATGACATCACAAGGTGGAACAGAGTGTTTTTTTCTGTTTGAGAGAAAAGCTCAGCCTAAACATGCAGGTTTGTGTGTTAAACATGTGTGAATGAAAGAAAAGAAACACAACTCCAGGTGTGTTTGTGACGAGGAAACGACATTAGAACACATCAGAAAAGAATGTCATTTTTTTTTTTTAAAACACAGTGCAGTTGTAAATATTTCTTGTATTTTTTTGTATCTTTCATGTTTCTTGAAGGTGCTGTGTGTGAAGAACTTGTCTGCACAGGCGACCGTGGCCCAGCTGGTGGCGCTGTTCTCCAGGTTTGAGCAGAGCGGAGGAGGAGGAGGCGTCGTTTACAAACTGCTCACGGGACGATTAAAGGGACAGGCCTTCATCACTCTGCCCGGTCAGTGAGCAACGCACTTTAAAACCACACAAATCACACAAAATCTGCTTTTATTTTGATTTGATTTTACTGTATGTGTGAGTTTTTCACTACCTCCTGTCTCCGCCCACGTGTTGTTATGAAAATGTTAACTCCAGGACATTTATGTAGGGTCCAGAAAAGCATTATTTTTTTTATCTATATTGCAGTTTTACACTTGAAACTAAATTATTGATTGATTCATTCATTCATTTTTACTTTGAGTTTGTGCCAAGAGAGAAACAATAATCATAAACACACTACACACACTCATTATAAACAACAGAAAAACACATTTCTCTAAAAGGAGCGGGAAGAAGAAAAACTTATAGCAAATAAATCACATACTATGCATACTTAATCAATTTAGACCAACTTTATTGATCCATGAGGGAAATTATTTGGACAAAAGAGCTCACAAATCACAATATAATATAATATAATAACAAAGAGTAAAAATATAAATGGTAATAATAAATTCTAAATAAGTAATAAAAAGAGCAAGAGATTAAGTGTCAAATAAAACATAATTATATAAATACAAATGTACTAGTAAAAATAAAGTAGAAATTTAAGTAATAAATATAAAAATCGAAATATAAGTAATAAAATAAATTATAAAAATCTAAAATAAAATATAAAGATAAGTAATTAAAATATATAAAGCTAAGTAATATAATAAATTATAAAAATCAAAAATTAAATGTAAATATAAGTAATAATAATATAAAAATTTAAAGATAAGTAATAAAATAAATATATAAAAATCCAAAATAAAAGATAAAAATAAGTAATAAAATATTAAAACTGAAAATAAGTAATAAAAATTATAAAAATCTAAAATTAAATATACAGATAAGTAATAAAATATAAAAATTTAAAGATAATTAATAAAATAAATTATAAAAAATCTAAAATAAAATATAAAGATAAGTAATAAAATAAAAAGAAAACCGTTGCAGTTTAAAAATAATTATGTATATAAGACAAAAAACTTAGAAAAAAAATAAAAAATTGTAACTGATTGTAAACTCTAGTCTCTTATATTACACAAAACAGACTCTTGTGGTGCTTTAAGTCAAGTTATAATGTTGTTACCTCGTCAAAAAACAAACCTCACACATGTTTGAGTTACTCTTTAAAGCTCAAAATGCTCTGTTCCACCTTGTGATGTCATGAAGCGATAGTTTCAAGTGAACAGCTCCTTTAACCTTTTAGTTCAGTAAAGATTGACAATTTCTGGTCTGAAATGATCCAGATGATTCGAGTGAAGGTGTGTTGAAGTTGTGTGTGAAGTTTAAAAACACAGTGGAGCACTTCCTGTATCACCGCATGACATCACGAGGTGGTTTGAGAGAAGAACTGAACCTAAATCTGCAGGGTTTGTGTTTTAAACATGTGTGAACGAACCAAAACACAACTCCAGCTCAGTTTGTGACGAGGAAACGACATTAGAAGGCAGAAAACAGAAAAGAGCCTCATATTGGTCCTTTTAAAAACACTCGTGATGCTTTTCGTTTTGTTGTTTCGCAGACGTTGAAGCGGCACAAAAAGCCCTCGAGTTGATCCACGGATACCGGTTGCTGGGGAAACCGCTGGTCGTGGAGTTTGGGCGAGAGAAACACGACTCGACTCAACTGCAGAATCACGAAAGAGACTGAAAATATCAACACAAACTGACTTTTTATTAAACTGTAAATATGGAAAACACTTTTTATTTAACAGCTTTTATATTTATATTGATTTAAGTTGTTTTTGACTTGGCTTATATTACGCAGAAATGACTCTTTTGAGCTTTAAAGGTGCACTATGTAACTTTTCACCTTCTCTGTTCTATGTTTATATCATTGCTCTGCCCGGAATGTTCCACAGTGTGACATTAAACAGCTCTACTTTACATTTATTCAATTACAGGTCATTTTTGAGCTTAAAAATACCTCGAAAAACAACATTGTGACTGTGAGCGGGGTCGCCTCTCCACAGATCTGACCTGTAACTTGGTCCGGTTTGGTCTCCGTGAAGATAAGTTTGAATGTTGTTACTGCCTCAAAATAAAATACAGTAACAGTTTCTATTTTAAAGCACTGAAAGTTCTGTTCTCCTTCAGGATTTACACGCATCACCAATTTCAGACGTCTGCAATTCATACTGGGAAGGATTTTTCAGAAAAAGTGAGTCTCAAACCTCCATGGGATGTGTCTATTGTCAAAGTCTTTTGAACCATATCACTTTTGTTTCTGGTTCTGATATTGTCATATTTTAGTTTTGGGATTCGGACATCGTAATTGTTGTGGTTGTTGGATCCTAACAGCAGAAAACAACTCGAGAAATGTGTTTGTGAACTTCATAAATGCAAAAGTGAATCAGATGTGTGTGACTCAAACCTCTGTTCAAACTGTTTCTCTTCCCAACGGAATTGAAAAATAGTGAAAGGTGAAGGTGATGGGCAGGACTGATCCACAGGAAGAACCAAAAAGGAAACATTTGTCTGACTAAGAAATCATCCTGAGTTTGTACAGAGAACATTTTGTATGTGGAGCGACAAAACAAAAATCCCGTTTGTTAAGTGAGAGGAGCAGAAGACAAACAGACTGAGCTGCACTTTCTTGTTCTTGTGGTTTTACAGAAACATCACGTCTTGGTCTCTTTGCAGTGGAAGGTGTTTCTTTGGTGAACAGCTGGAGCCTTTCACTTTGGCGTCGACTTTTTAAATTCGTAACCGAGGTTGAGTGAGAGATCGGGGTTTTGTTTTGTTGGTTCTTCCTGTGGATCAATCCTGCTCATCACCTTCACCTTTCACTATTTTTCAGTTCCGTTGGGAAGAGAAACAGTTTGAACGGAGGTTTGAGTCACACACATCTGATTCACTTTTGCATTTATGAAGTTCACAAACACATTTCTCGAGCCGTTTTCCGCTGTTTGGATCCAACAACCACACAATTAACGATGTCCGAATCCCAAAACTAAAATATGACCAGTGTTGGGGAGTAACAGATTACATGTACTGGAGTTACGTAATCAGAGTATAAATTATGAGTAACTGTATTCAGTTACATTTACTGTTTCAGTGAGTGGTAATTGGATTACAGTTACTTTGTTAAAAGAAATGGATTACAGGGCAGTATTTTCCTGTTTTACATTTTGGGCTAAACCAGGACTAAAACCTGGACTAAACCAGAACTAAAACTAGGACTAAAACCAGGTCTAAACCAGAACTAAACCAGGTCTAAACCAGGACTAAACCAGGTCTAAACCAGGTCTAAACCAGGACTAAACCAGGTCTAAACCAGGTCTAAACCAGGTCTAAACCAGGACTAAACCAGGTCTAAACCAGGTCTTAAACCAGGACTAAACCAGGACTAAACTAATACAATATGACACTAACAGTAGGTGGACATAATTTAAAGCAGCACTGATCTCATATAAAAATCATTTCTCTATCAATAATATTTTTAATCTGGTCAAGTAAAGACTGAACAAACGAGAAGTTTTCAGGATGTGGTTGCTTCTTTCATGAAGTTTTCAAAAAGCCTGACAATATCAAGTAATCCAAAGCATTCAGATTACATTACTCACTTTAAGTAATTTAATGGATTACGTTACAAACTACATTTTGAGGTATGTAATCTGTAATCTGTAGGGGAATACATTTTAAAAGTAAACTTCCCAACACTGAATATGACAATATCAGAACCAGAAACAAAAGTGATATGGTTCAAAAGACTTGAAAAGATCGACTTTGTCAACAGACACATCCCACTGGGAAAACAAACATGGAGGTTTGATGCTCACTTTTTTCGGAAAATCCTCCCAGTATGAATTGTGCGATGACTGGACGTCTGAAATCTGTGATGCATGTAGTATTATCGTCACTCTCCTCCTGACTGTTTATTTCAAAAACAGTGATGCAGATCAACTTGTCCTGCTCCTTCTATTCAGTGTGCGTCCCCAGAGCTTGTTTCTATGCCTGGAATGTTCCACAGTGTGACTTTAAACATCTCTACTTTACATTTATTCAATAACATTTGGTTTTACAGCTCAAAAATCCCTAGAAAAACAAACATTCTGACTGTGAGCGGCGTCGCCTCTCCACAGATCTGACCTCTAACTTGGTCCGGTTTGATCTCCTCCACCAGAAAAGTTACACATTGCGCCTTAAACCAGTTCTGTGTTGATTGGCAGGGTGGAAAGTGTCTTGCTGAGGGGCACAAAGGCACAGTATGAGGACACGCTGAAGAACTTTCTCCAGCTCCTCGTTTTGAAGATCAGTTTTACAGTAGATTTTTTTTATTTGTATGAAACTTGAACCTCCGCCAAGACAATTACAGACAGTTTTTTTGAGGTATTATTAAAAATATGATCTGGATTCTCGCAAAAATATCAACGCTTTTGTTGTTGGTGTCGCCTCCCACTTTTTAAATAAGCTCCAGGTTCGACCCTCGACCCGGCGCAGTATCAGTTTCAGCTCAGTATCGCTCTCACGTTTTCATAAAAAGTTTTTATTTGAGCGTTTATTGATTCGTTTGGCCTTCTCCGCTCTCGCTGTTTGTTCTGGGTCACGCTCTCTCCTCGTTTTCCCATCATGCACCGCGGTCACGTCCCTCAGACCTCACAGGCTCAAGGGCGTTTGGAGAGAAGAGGAATTCGAACAACGCAGCGCAACCACGTCCTGTCAGCAATAGTCGGACTTTCATAGTTCCTGGTCTGTGACTGATCCAAGAAATCAGTAAGATTTCAGAACTATTGTGTCATGGATGTTCCAAAACCCACACTGTACTTGTTTATGTGCAGAAGATACAATGTGAAAAGAGTTATTTTACATCAGATGGGCCCTTTAATGACGTCATTATTACTATAAACTTTATTAGGTGATATCAGCTCTTTTTCTTGCTGGCTCCATTGCAAAAAAAAAAGAATCTCAAATAGAATGAACCAAACTCACAATAACCCAAAACCACAAAATGTTTTGGGTGAATCCATTGCATTTCTTTGGCCCTTATGTTTCGAATCGCCAAATCCACAAACCACTTCCTGAATCAGTCACGTGGTTCGGGCGGTTCACGAGGCTTCGAACGTCACCACAAATGTCACCGATACAAACCTCGATACACTTCAACAAAGACTTCCTGGATTACTCGACACACACTTCCAGTCCTTGACACAGATGACACATCACTACCTTATAGAACAGTGTTCTAGAACTGTCAAACACTGCAAAGCGTTTGACGAACCCTCCACCGAAAAAGTTACACAATGCACCATTAAAGTTTGTGTAATATAGAACTGTACCTTTGTTTGACGTTTGCTTTCAGGGTTTGTCCCCTGAGCAAAGTTATAGGCTGAAACACATCGGGACTTTGTAAGTTTGTCCTTTAAGACATGCTGTAAACAATAAAGGCATTTTATTTGAATCAGTGACTGCCTTGGGTTTTTTGCATCTTTAAATTGACTTCCCTTCCTCAAAAGCTGTTTTCAGGCCGGTCAGAACTGTGCTGGTTCCTGCACCAGTTCCACTGGGAACTAAAGTTCTCACCAGTGAACGACTCATGTTCAAACCATTTATGTGAACCCATGACACGACATTGACAGAGGGTTTGGATTTACCACCAAATAAAAACAAGGCCTTACAAAAACGGAAGAAATAACAATCATGGATCACATCATCAACACCAGTGAGTATTTGTATTTATACGTCATTCTTTATGTGCTGAGCTCTGACACAACATGGATCTGCTGTGGAGAAGACGACAGCGACGCCCAGTACAAAGATGTAATTTTATCAAGCGAACACGGACACATGCAGCACCAACAGGACGTAATAGTTTCTGTAGACTTAAAACTTTTAATTTCATATGTGAGAGTTTCAGTTGCTTGTTGTTGGTTTATTTTAGCGTGTGTGACTGGGATGAATGTGCTGTGTTGTCACTTAGAAAAAACGAGTTTTACTTGGTTCCTGAACGCTCTGATTTGTGCCGTGAACACGAGTTGGTTCAAGATTAGATGCGGGAACCGGCACCAGTACAGCTCTCTGTCCACCTGAAAACACTGAAAGAGCAACACTCTTCTACCTGCTGTGTATTTTCCTCTGGAGGTAGAGGAAATGCTCCTTTTGAAACTTTTTTAGACTTCCTTTGTGTTGGCCTATCGAACATATATTTATTTTATTGCTCTATTTATTGTTCGTGCTGTTATTTTGTTGGCATCAGTTTAAAGAGAACAACAAAAATCTGACATTTAACATAAATACAAATTCCTAATAAATTACCTCTAACTTGGATTTTAAATGTTCTGACCTGGTTTTTAGTCTTGATTTTTGCATTTATTTCAAGCAGAACCGCATACGAACTAAATCTAGGAATATAAAACCACAGAGTGTATATTTACACCCCAAAGTTGAACAAAACTACAGTGTAATTAGATAAAACACATACGACATTTCTTAGCGTTAAAAACACAAACACTTTAAGTTTTAGATCATATAAGAACATTTATTTAAAAACACATCAGACTTACATTGTGTTTAAACTGTGCTTATTATTAAACTCATCATCAAGAACATCTTAAACTCTGTGAAAACAAATTAAAACGACTCAAAAACTCAAACTGTGTAAACTCAAAAACCAAAAGAAAAAATCCTTGAAACAAAAACAGTACAAAACAAAACTGAGACAAACGACAAAAACTGCTGAGGTGCAAAAGTTTAGAAGATTTTTGTCGAATGTCAAAACGCTCTTTGAATATAAAAGTCTACAAAAACACACAGTCAAACAAAAGATACAGAAATAAACACGATTCTGTGATTAAAACAAACACGTTCTGTTTATTTTATGAACTTTGATTTGTAAAAATAAAATGATAGTGAAAATTTTTTGACAAACGAGAAAAATACACCAACTTTGAAAACAAATTCATATTTGATCGCAATCTGTGTATAATTTGTTCATTCATTTTTCACAATAAAATGAAAAATAAGAAAATGAAAAAACTATTTTCGTCATTATTTGTCTCCAAAACCAAAATGAAAAAACAGATAACGACTGTTTCCCGTTTCCATGACTGAAACTGTGATGCCGGACTGAACCAGGACTAAACCGGGACTGAGACTGAGACCAGGACTGAGACCAGTTCTGTCCTGGTTCAGTCCGGCATC